CTAACTCCCTGTCAATAAACTCCCTCACCAAAACCCTAACTCTCTGTAAATAAACTCCCTCAAACCTTAATCCTGAGGCAATTACAATGTATTGTATAAAGATACTTAATAATATTTAACATTAGAAGTTGTCAAGCAGTTGCGAATGAAGGGAATTACTATTAAGAAGGGCTAATAAATGCATATGTTAGCACCCATATTGTTCAAAATCAATTGCACTCATTGTCGACACAGCAGTAAGAGGAGATGCCTTACCTTTTCCCCTGCAGGAGCTTGAATCCACTGGGTCATTGAAGAATGTTGATGTCGTTGTTTCAGGGCTATGTAATGTTTATACACATTATATCACGACATATGAAGAATACCAGGTAATGAACCATATTTTCAGACGGTGCTTTAACAATCGGTTTTGTGTTGTGGAAACATAATTCAAATTAATAAAGTTGCACCCAGAGTACTTGCTGGTTCTCTTTTTTAAATGGCAACAGTTCTTAATTAATTTGGGGGTAAACATTTGTTTGTTCCTGGCTTTGGTCTGTCCAACTTATCTTCACAAGACAACTCATTCTTTCCCAATGTCTGTCTGGCAAACCTCCTCTGAACTGTCTCCAATTTACATTCTTCCCTAAATAAGGAGACTACAGCTGCACGCACATATTCACGATATGATCTCGCCTCTAAAACTGAAGCACAACATCCTGAAATTGATGTTCAATTGCTCTTGTAATAAAGGATAACATTGAATTAGCCTTCTGAATTACTTCTACCTGCATGTTAACTTTTTGTTACTTCTGCACTCAAAAACCTAGGTCTCCTTACAGCTCCAAACTCTACAGTTCTAATCTTGGATAATCATGACCTGGAGGGCTAACTCCCACCTTCTGAAGGACAAGTAGAGATGGGCAATAAATGCTGGTCCAGCCAATGATGCATATAACCAGTGAGCAAATGAAAATAAAGTTAGGTCAGTGGTTTACCATGTATAGATGAGAGTATTAAATTATGAAGAGGATCATTGCAAGCTGGATTTTGCAAATGATGTGTTTTCCTGTTTGGTTTCCTCACTAATTCCAAGGGCTTGCTTTTTCTTCAGAGAGACAAAGGATGGGTTTGAATTTTGTTATTAATCCCAGGCTCTGATTTTCAGAGTTGTCACTACAGGGGAAATGGGTTTGTGGTTTCTGATAGGTTTGATTCCAAGAGAAAACTCCCTACTGCATAAAATGCTTTTAGATTTCACATTTTCCTCAACTCAAATCACTGTCAATTCAGCTAGCAGCTACTGTAATTTTAGAATTTGCAGAGACCCATTACAATCCAGAAGGTTATTTCTGATCAAATCGTTTAAAGAGTCATCATCAGTGAAATTGAATGGGCTGGAGATTCCTCAGAAAATTGCTTCTACAACATGTCAGTTATTTTATTCCTTTACTTCAATGTGCCGTCGGTGTTACTGTTCAACTTGAAACTGGCATCTGGAGAGCAGAGCTTTAGTACAGTTCTCCATCTAGTGGCTCAGTCAGAAATTGTGAAATTTTACACATTATACATGGAAGTTTCAATCTGAAATTTTGACCTCGCTTCACCCTTTCCTCTGTAGGTAGTGATTTCTTGAAAATTACTCTTCTACAATTTGACTTTTCGACTTTGCTTAACAGCTGAATGACCAAGCGACCTGCCTTAATGTGTCGCTTATTAAGAATCAGTATTCAATATCCTCAATTTATACTTATTTTCTTTGCTCACACCCTGTTTCTCTGGCCCATGCCCTTGCTTGATGTGAATTTCTGAGGTCGGGATGAGGACTGAGGCATGCTATTTCCAATTAATTGAATGTATGATAATCTGAAGATTGGTGCAACTCTCTTTTGTTTGTCCGAAGTCAAAAGTAGATTTTTGTTCCTCCTGCAGGTGGGAGTGTAGCGGAGAAGTTCACTAGTGCTATGCCAAATTTCCGAGCACAAAACAGCAGAAAAAGCCACCCAAGGCTAGCGCCTGAAGCAGGGCATCAGTCCTTCAAAAATGCCAATAGGGATCCTAGTGAGACCCTCTATGGAAAACTTGGCTGCCCTGACAACAGCTGATGCTGGTTCAACAGGCTCAATAGGCTCTACCAGCAAGGAGCTATGATGCCATTTCTGGAATAAACACCATCCAAAGTTCAATATTGGACCTGTATTAGGTCTGTCTGTTCCACCAACAGTATCAGTTACTGAGCATAGAGCTTAGTAACTCAGAGTATTCCAGTCTGGCTGTGCCCAATCAGATAATTAATGAATATTCATTCGTTTAACAGGTTCAACGCTATGAGGCTGCATCAACTATCTACGGACCTCACACTCTTTCAGCCTACATCCAACAGTTTAAAGGTCTGGCTAAGGCCATAGCAGAGGTCAGCCTGCATGTTTATTGTATTTCATTTTCAGAGCTGATTATCTGAAACCCTGCTGATGAGGGGTCCAAGCAAACACAGATCAACATCTTTCATTATTTTTATTTTCAATTTTGTACATAAAATTGCCATGTAGATATTAACCCCAAGTCAATTTAGTTAATGTATATGATTATTATTTTACTAGCTTGTCTAAAATTGCTTTTGTCTAAATCTAGTGACTTCATTTCATGCTTTCACTGTGCTCGGAGTTAAAGGTTAAGATAGTTCATGTGTTTGGGAAACTTGGGTTTACTCCTACAAAAATATAATGAGTACAATCTGTATCTTTGATGAGTGTGATACAGTATTCCAGTCACGTCATGCTACAATGTGTTAGACTTTGTATAATAACTTGAAAACAAGAAAAAGACATTGCTCAATGGATAGTCAGAACTGCAGATGCTGGAGTCTGAGATAACACCGTGTGGAGCTGGAGGAACACAGCAGGCCAGGCAGCATCAGAGGAGCCGGAAAGCTGACGTTTCAGGTTGGGACACTTCATTTTCTGAAGAAGGGTCCCCACCCAAAACATCAACTTTGCTGCTCCTCTGATGCTGCCTGGCCTGCTACGTTCCTCCAGCTCCACACATTGCTCAATGGAATTTGCTTGCCATTTCCAGTATAGGCAGTTCCCAGGTTACAAATGGGTTCCATTCCTAGGTAGGTTTGTATGTAGATTTGTACACAAGTGGAAGAACAGTACAATATAAAGCAGCTGCTCAAAAGTATGAACAAATACTCGGATATTGGATCTTTAGAATTAACATTAGTATGGAATCTCATTTGTAAGTGTGAGTGGTTGTAAATTGAACATTTGTAAATTGGTGACTGCTTGTACATGGAATATTCTGGATGAATTGGGACATTTGAGACTGTGACACAAATTTGTAAAAAATGCCATTTTTTCCCAACAGAAATCATGCAAAATTATGAATTGATCCAACCTCACAGCTACTGATGATAGATATTCAAGTCAAGACATTGTATTTAACAGCTTCAAACTTCACCTACTCCTAAAAATCAACAGTTGTTTAATTTTAATTTTTTTAGGATTTTATTTCACAGCATGTTTTCAGAATCTATTCGTACTAAACTCATCAGACAGCACGGTGTGTTGGGTGCTGAATCACAAAAAATGGCTTTTGTAAAATGTTCTAATTTTGGGTACTTTGGACCTTCATACTAGCTCAGCCAAATGCCCAGTTTACTGTTAAACAATCTTTGTTACTGGACTGTACACGATGGCGGTAATTTTACAGCGCAGCAAGTTCTGTGCTGTACAGGTTCCAACCTCTTAGAATATTAGCACATGATGACTGAGGTCACAGCTTATCTCAGAGCCTCATCTACATATTCATTAAACCTTATCTCTACATCTTTCCACTTCCCAGTACTTTCTCAGCTTCCAACATTATGAACTAAATGTGTTTTCTTGACATTATTTGCTGAAACATTTAACTGAAACTTTTTTTCACCATTGACTGAATGTATTACCAACCCCATCATCTCCTCTAAGAGTCACCAATTCAAGTACCGTGGAGACTTGAAAATTCTCCTGGTTCTGTTTGTATGAAATGAGGCAGTAGATCTGAATTTGCACTTCCAGCAGCTTGAACCAAAACTATGGAGACAGTAGCATCATCCTATATCCTGTCATACTGAAAGGATGGTAGGTTTACAGTTTGCTGCATTAAGCTAAGTGTAGATGGTATGCACAGAGAGGATATGACCTCTGCTTGACTGGACAACAATTAGTTTTGTCTCTTTCATTCAACCTTCTGTTGAAGAGAAGATCTGACAATGAAAGACTGTTCAAAGGGGAAGTTGAACCACTGAAGAAGAGCCGAGCAGCGTCATTAATCAACTGTAGCAGAAGGGCAAATGACATCTTAAGGTTCTTCTACCACATTCTGAAGTTTAGGATGAAGAAAGGAGTGAAGTATCGATTCACTTGTTTGAAAGATTCATAGGAACTGTGAAGAATGAACAAAAAAATCTCTTCAGAGGTTGTTGCTGACACTGAACAATTCACATAAAAACTGAAAGAACTGCGGATGCTGTAAATCGGGAACAAAAACAAAGTTGCTGGAAAAGCTCAGCATGTCTGGCAGCATCTATGAAGGAAAAAACAGAGGTAACGTTTCTGGTCCGGTGACCCTTCCTCAGAACCCAGTTAACTCTGTTTTTTCCTTCACAGATGCTGCCAGACCTGCTGAGCTTTTCCAGCAACTTTGTTTTTGTTCCTGAACAATTCACAGTCAGGACCGTCAAAACGTCATCTGAGTTTACTGCAAAATATCCTGGATTAAAAGGTGAGATGAAAAGAAGTTTGGTATTGACTACCTCCACACTTGTTAGTGTCTGTGGGTGAAGATGAAGAATTTTCTGGACTCTCGTACAAAAGCAGAATAATGTTATCATTTCTGAATAAGGGTCTCGACCCAAAACGTCAACTTTTCTGCTCCTCTGATGCTGCCTCGCCTGCTGTGTTCCTCCAGCTCCACACTGTTGTCAATGTTATCAGTGTTGTTGAAGAATTTTATGTAAGTGCCAAATTTCCAGTCCTTTGCATTCTTGGATAGCCACATCAGGCATGTGGTATGCTGCCAAATGAAAGATCATTGTGACCACCTTGTACAGCTAGAAGTATTAAAACTTCTTTTACATCATCAATAGATTCACATCATGTTCTTTCCATTAACACTGTTGGCCCCCTAAACTAGCATCCACATTGGAGTAACTAAGGAGTTTTGCTCACTCTAATCTGGAAGATTGTTAGAGCGCTGTGACCGTACTGCATTGAAGCTTGAAGAATCAGGTACAACATGATATTCTTCCTGAGAAGTGGAACCAGCTCTGATAGTTCCATCTTTTTTTATTCCACGTGGGATGTGGGCATCTCTGGCTGGCCAGCATTTATTACCCATCCCCAGTGTGTCTTGAGAAGGTGGTGGTGAGCTGCTTTCTTGAACCTCTGCTGTCTATTTGATGACCGTCATGGGTAGACCCTCAATACCCTTTGGGAGGGAATTCCAGGATTTTGACCCAGTGACTGAAGGGATGGCTATATATTTCCAAGTCAGGATGGTGAGTGCTTTGAGGGGAAACTGCAGATGGTGGTGTTCCCTTGTCCTTCAAGGTAGAAGTGGTTGTGGGTTTTGGAAGGTGTTATATATGGATCTTTGGTGCATTTCTACTGTGCATCTTGTAGACAGTACTGCTGCAACTGAGTGTCAGTGGCTGAAGAAGTGGGTGTTTGTGGATGTAGTGCAATCAAGCGGGCTGCTTTGTCCTGAATGGTGTCAAACTTCTTGAGTGTTGTTGCAGCTTCATCATCCAGGTAAGGAGGAAGTTTGTATCGCACTTCTGCTCTTGTAACCACTACATGGCTGGATCTGTTCAGTTTTGCTCAATAGTGACCCCCAGGATATTGATAGTGGGAGACTTAGAGATGGTAACGGCCAAGGGACAATGGTTATATTCTATCTTGTTAAAGGTGGTCAGTGCCCAGCATTTACGTGGTGTGAATGTTACTTGCCACCTTTCAGCTCAAGCTTAGGCAGAGTATGGGTCTTGCTACATTTGCACATGGACTGCTATCAGGTTCGTTCCTGAGTGTGATTCCTGGTTAGGAATCTCTGAAGTAGAAACACAACTGGAGGAGGATCCCAAAACCTGTCAAACCCATGGAAAATCTTGGAAAAGAAAGTTCTTCACAAAATGGCATCTAGTATTTTTGAGACTTCAGTAGGCAGACAAAGTGGTGGGGAATCATCACAAATTGGTTTCCAATCTGCTGCATTGCTGGAGAGGCTATTGGATGTAATAGAATCTAATGAAATAGAATATAAGCATCAACTAAGTATGGCAGTTCATCACAGAATAGAATGTTGTTGTTGCCTTGATAGGAAAAATCCTTTACCTGGGCTCAAGCTTTTCGTGCCTCTGTAGAAGACTTATTAGGACTCGTACTTGCTAATTCAACAAGGCTCCTTAATAACATTGCAGTTGTAGGCACATATTCATTCAAAGTTACCTTTAAATGAAAGGGTGTCCAGGCCATGATTCTTGATTTTTAACGGTCAAAGGTATATAGTGTGAAGCAATTCTTAACTTTCACTGTTACCTCAATAATCCTGGGCCAGATCATCAATGTTTGCTATAGGGCCAATGACATCTACTTGAACTTCCATCTTTTAGTTCAGTTTGCTAATTTGGCTTATTTTTGAAATAACCTTGCCTTGCAAAGCGACTGAAAGTGATCGAGCATGCCAGCGTAAATTGCCTCCTGCTGAACAATCTTGTTGCTTGCAATGCTTCCTTGCTCTACAATGCCAACAGTTCAAAATGGCAGATCTTGCCTTTTCGCTGAACATTTTTGGCAGGAAGAGGCAGACGTCTTTGTCCTAGCCCATGAATAGATTTAAACTGAAGTTTGGATTTGTGTTGAACCATCTCCTGAGTTTTGCATTTTATGGCTGATCCTGCCTCATTCATTGGATTGCTTGCTGTACCTTGTCAGGACTCGCTCAGATTGCACTAGATCAGCAATATGGTGTTAAGAATCTGAATGAGCTGATTGCTCAATTCTGCATTGTTGCATGAAAATAGTCACCTTGTGTAAATCCTCAATGGAGTGTATTGAGTTTAATGGAATCCTTGTTTACTCTGGGCCCATTCAATAACAAAGTTCTTGGAATTAAAGGAAATGTCAAAGGCTGCTGGGGCTGACTGAATCCACCCGGTGATATCTCACCAACAGCTTGCTGGATAATGATCTCTTTAGCGAGCTGGAGCTGTTGCTGTTTCTGTTTCAAACACATCTATGGAGACTCTGTACCTGTATCTGCCAAAGCTCCAATCCATATCAGTCCTTCAACAGCATTTGAAAGGCCTTGGAAAGAACAAGGACTGCTGAGCTTCTCCCAACATACTTCCACTTTAGAGTATGCCTCATCTTATCTTGCCTTGCATAAGACTCCAACTATTTCATCCTCCCTTATGTAAGCCATCAAGCCTCAATGCTTGGGAAGTCTTCTGAGAATTTTTGCCTGTGAATTCAACCCTGCCTTGTGGTCACTTAAACACTGCCTCATGAATCTTCAGATTCTTTTAAGAAAAACACCGTCAATATTAGACTGAGATATTAGGAACTGCAGATGCTGGAGAATCTGAGATAACAAGGTGTACAGCTGGATGAACACAGCAGGTCAAGCAGCATCAGAGGATCAGGAAGGCTGACGTTTAGGGCCTAGACCCCTATATTAGACTGGTGTGTTTACGGCTGCCACCATGTGGTAACATGTTTAAAATGAGTTTTTCAGATCTTCATATAAGCTCAGGCCAGACTTCTAGGTTATCATTAAACAATGTTTATTAATAGACCATACATGATGGTAAGTCTACAGAGTAGCATCGACTGCAGTGTATAGGCTCCAGCCTCCTATAATAATAGTGTATGGCTGCTGAGGTTACAGCTAATGTAACAGCTTACCCCAGAGGCTAATTTACATATCCCTTAAATCCTACAACAGCTCAATCTGGTTGAACTTGTAGACTCTTCCAGCCTCCTGTTTACTAGTTGTAATATCTTATTTTTGGCAATGTTGCTTGAGCATTGGGAAGAGAACTTATTTTTTATCCCCAGTTCTTAGGAAGGGTCACCAGACCCGAAACATTAACTCTGTTTTTGTTTCTCTTCACAGATGCTGCCAGACTTGCTGAGCTTTTCCAGCAACTTTGTTTTTGAATTTATTTTTGGTTGCTTTATTCTGATCCAAGTTCTAACCCCATAAATGACATTTTGTTCAAACTTTGTGACAACGATACTTTATCTAATTTCCTCAGAATCATTTCCTTCCCTTGTAGTTAGTCTTTAAACCACCAGAATGCTTATTATAGCCTGTTATTGTTTCCAATGCTCTAGGATTCTGTCGATCAGTTGCCTAAAGGTCCAGAACCACCTAATTTTTCTGACAAGCAGCTAATCTCATTACTGTTCCCGAATCCAGTTGATAAAACGCTGGCTAATACATCTTTTGGTGATGTACTAATAGACGTGCAAGGATCATACAGACCGGTAAGTGTTTATTGACATTTCCTCTTTCATATTTAACCTGTTTTCAAAATTTGGAAATTAGAAGGAATTGTGAATTACTGCTGCAGATTTCAGATATTTAATCAACACTTCTGAAATAATTCCACGGAGGCCAGTATCCGTGTCACCAAGTCACCCTTTATTTACACATGTAGACTCCTTGACAATGATCCAGCTTTCCCAGAGCTGGCTCCTGGAGTGAACAGAACCCCTGACCCTCCTGTTTATCTCTATCAGCCAGGGCTCCCTGATTGGGCCAGGTTAATAGCCCCAATCAGGGAACTCATATTCTATGAGGTCCACCTGGCTGACTTCATTACAATCACTATATCCCTCCCCCTCTAAGTCTGTAGACTGTCCTTGTTATAGCCTCTCCTGGGGCATTTTAACACCGGGTCCAGTTCCTCTGACTCAGCCTTGGATCCAGGCAGCATGTATCAGAGGGTAGCCTGCCTCTCGTACCCAGGGCGTCTCAGAAGAAATTCATCCTCTTCTTCAGGCAGTAAAGGCATTGAGACTGTGACATTCACCATGTCCACCTCAGACTCTGAGGTTTCCTCAATGCTAGACAGAGGGAGAGAAGCCACGGGTTCTTTGGCAGATGCTCTGTGGAGCTGAGTACGTTTTGCTCCTGCCCTGTTTGTGGGTTTGCAGCTTTCATGTGGTCCACATGCTTGTTCAGGACCGCCTCACCTTCTCGAAGTTCAGGACCTGACCTTGGGTCGACCGTGCCTCTTACCATAGCAGGGCCATTTCCGTGGTTTTGGCACCAAATTTCATCCCCAGAAGCAAATTGTCTCTCTCACTTAGAGGAGTCTTACATCTGGCTTTGGCTTTCCTGATGTCATTCCACCCTCCCTCCACAGGTCCAGGAAGATCAGATTTAACTTGGTGCAGGGTCTTCTCCTCATGAGCAATTCTGCTGGAGCTATCCCTGTAGCTGAAGTGGGTTGGTCCGACAATCAAATAGGAAGCGGGACAGTTTGGTATTGAGTGAAGCTGCGGGCTGTTTCCTTAAGCCTGTCTTCTAAGTTTGGACTGATCTTCCTGCTAGACCATTGGATGAAGGATGGTACGAGCTGTCCTTACACTCCAAATGCCATTTGACTTAAGGAAATACTCAAATTCCCTGCTGGTAAATGATGGCCCATTGTTTGTGAACAACTCTTCTGGGAGCCTGTGTATTGCAAAAGATGTGCACAGCTTTTCTGTCGTCCCTGTTGATGAACAAACTCTATGCATTTCCAACCACTTTGAGTAGGTTGCCATAATGACCAAGAACATTGCACCCATGAAAGGATCGATGTGTAATTGAGTCCAGGGTTTTCCCGGCCATTTCTATGAATGTGGGGGAGGTGTTGGTGGTAATTTTTGTCCTCGTTGCACTGCCCTACTGACCCGGCTATGTTAGCATCCAATCCTGGCCATCAGGCATGACAACTCATTAACATCTTCACTTTGGACACTTCTGGTTGACCCTGGTCGAGTTCAGCCAACACCTGATGTTGACCTTTGCTCGGGACAATCACTCTTGCTCCCCATAATAAAATGCCATCCTGTACAATGGTCTGGTCTTACCAGGCCCAGAGAGGTTTCAGTTCTGATTGTGATGGCCTTTTTGTTTCCCTCATCATCACCAGCTGTTTTAGTTTTGCCAGGACCAAATCATTTTGCATCCACAGTCTGATATTGTCAGCAATGACCAGGAGTGTGTCCAGGAAGTTTAAAACCAGAACGGACTCTTCCAATGTTGGCACCACGGGCGGGGTATCTGCCAGTGGGAGGTGGGTCAAGGCATCCAGAGCAGGTTAAATCTGATCCTCTCAGACATGGGAGAGAGGGTGAAATAGCATCAGGAATGCCAGTGCCAGACACAAGACTTCTCTAAGCGAGAGAGGCGGTTCTCAGAGTGAACAGAACCTCTGGTACTCATGTTTATATCTGTCAGCTCGGGCTCCCTGATTGGACCAGGTTCACAGCCCCAATCAGGGAACTCATATTCTATGAGGCTGACCTCGCTGCAATCACTGCATCTTCCTTTCTAAATTTCCTCATGAGTTTTTTTTTGCTGTCCTTGTTGAAGTCAGTAATCCTTGCTCCATTTGTTATCTCAACCCTCCTGCTGGTTTGTGCGAACGGATTTGGATTATTCCAGCATCCAAATCTCAGTTGAACTTGTGTGTGATGGCAGCAAGGGTCACTGAAGTGTTAGCTGCAGTCTCATTCCCTGTTCCCCTAAGAAAATGAAGGGCACCACTCAGTACATCATTGCAATACACCAGGCAGTGCAACTCCCCAAGATGCAACCAGTTTCCAGGATATTGTTTTTAAACATATTATGAATGCTGGTCAGGTCTTAACCTGAATTAAGTTTCTCCAGCATGCTATCCTTGAAATTCCTCCTCTCCAGAGAGCAGAACAGTCAGTTTAAAGGTCACACACAATGCAATAAATTTGATCTGAGCTTTGAGTCTTGAATTACTAACTTACTTCACACCTAAACATTATGTAATTTAAAATTTGTTGTGAAATCCAATGGTTACCACTCATGAGGCACTTTAGCAATCTACAGAAGTATAGTGATGTCACTGGACTAATAAATCAGAAGCCCAGGGTTAATTTACTCAAACATGGCAGGTGATTTAAAAAAAAATTCTGCGTTGCGAGCTGAATTGGAAGACTTGAGAGTGGTGGGGAGGTGTCGTAGAGGGATGGAGGAGGGACAATTAGATTTTATGGAGGTGAACTTATGGAAGTTTATAAAATCATGATGAGCTTGGATAGAGTGAATAACCAAGGTCTTTTCCCTAGGGTAGGGGAGTCCAAAACTAGAGGGCATTGGTTTAAGGTGAGAGGGAAAAGATTTAACAGGGACCTAAGGGGCAACTTTTTCACGCAGTGTGTGTGTATGGAATGAGCTGTCAGAGGAAGCAGTGGAGGCTGGTACAATTGCAACATTAAAAGACAACTGGATGGGTATATGAATGGGAAGAGTTTAGAGGGATATGGGCCAAATGCTGACAAATGGGACTAGATTAATTTAGGATATCTGGTTGGCATGGACGAGTTGGACCAAAGGGTTTGTTTCCATGCTGTACATTTCTGTGACTCTAAGTGAGCTGTGTAGAAGATCTGATTGGAAATTGATATTGTTTAGCACATTTAAATGAAGCTGAAGATTCAATTTCAGTTAAACTCACTGAATTCAGAACGACTTGGTTTCAGGGAAAAATATGAAATGGTGAACGTTGCTACATTTCCTCATATCAATTCATCACAGTGCCTTGTTGAAACATAATTATCCCTATAAATCCTCCTCGGTATTCATTCTGAACCTACTGAAAGGTTACACTCTCATCTCTCTGCTGTTAAAAACCTGACTGCCATGGAATGATTTTATCTCTGTGGTCACAACCCAAGGGAATGGCTTGTGTGCAATAGCATTTGCTGATCACCTGGGACCAAGGATGTGCGAATGTAATTGGCAACGAGGTGTTAGTTGGTTACTGAGGCAAATCTCTTGTTTGAGAATAAGGTGAGATTCGAGAGGTGACCATAGACTGAATAAAACAGTACAGGTTAACAGTTAGACAGGGCTTTATGATTTGTATTGTTATACACTTGGTGAGCAGTGGTAAGTATGCTTACTTCACACTTCAAAATAGATCTAACCTGTTAGTTTTGAGAAGTTGTGATATTTTATACTTAGCTTTGATGGAATGAAGAATTAACCCGGATCATTGCAAATCGCATCTGTTCACATGTTTGTATTTGTTGTAGGGAGATATTGCAGAAGTGACTTTTGTGAGTGGGAATCCCAGGAACTCGGTGGCTTCTATGGTATGTGATTCATTCAGATACTTGGGGAAAAGGGCCATGCTAAAATGTTCGCGCTTTGCTTGAAATGAGCAGATCACCGTCAGAAGATTCACTCTCATCCTGTACCATAGGTCATTTTGAGCAGATTGCCCAGCCTTTAAGGAGGAGTGGGTGTGAATTCCAATTCAGCAGCACAAAAGATATACACAATAAAGATGACAAACGCTAAACTCATTAAAATGAGGGCTGTGCTCACTCATAACATGGGCGTAACCTCACTGGTGGAAGGGAAGGGAGTTAGGTCCATGATTTTCATGTTGTAAGTCCCTCCCCTCACATTGAGTGACCTGTGTGCTGAGTGAGTTAGACTAGCAGCCATGCTGGGTGAGAATTCTTCTATCCTCTGGAGTATAAACTCTGCAGGCCCCCTTCCACATCTGCTCACATTCCAACCCAGTTAGATCTCTCTTCATGGAGTGATTTTCTTACAAGGACAGGTTGAGTAGATTGGGGTTGAAGAATGAAGTAAAACCTTATTGAAACTTGCAAGATTCTTTGAGGGCTTGACAGAGTAGAATCCTGGGAGGTATTTTTCTCTTCGTGGGAGAGTCCAGGGCCAGAGGGCAAAATCTCAGACTAATGCTTCGGGCATTTAAGGTAGAGATAGGAGGAAATGTTTCTCTTGGAGAATAGTCTATCTGAGGAAATCTTTAGAGGATTGTCAAAGCTGGGCAAATAAACATAATCAAGGCTGAGATACAGATTTTTAATCACTAAGGGAATCAAGGGTTATGGGGAAAAAGCATAAATGTGAAGTTGAGGATTATCAATCAGCCATGATTCCATTGAATGACAGAGCAGTGTTAATGGGCCAAATGACCTATATCTGTTCCTACATCATATGGTTTTATTGTCCTATTTGGCACACAATTACTAACGAACACAGGGAGAACATAGGATTAGGAGTAAGCCATTCAGCCATTTGAACGTGGCTGGTCTGCATTTTAACTCCATTGACCTGCATTAGTTTCATAACCTTAATAACAATCTCACTAAGTAACAATCTCACTTAACAACAATGGATCCATTTGAATCATGGCATTTACTGTTGCTGCAACTTCAACAGCAATTTGGGAGAGAGAATTCCAGTGTTCAAATCCCTTTTATATGAAAACTTCCATCTTGATGTCGACATGAATGGTTTAGTTATAATTTTCAGACCATGTTACCTTATTCTGGTCTCTCATCAAACCATAGCTATCATATCAAATCCTTCAATTATATTCAACACCTCAAGCAGGTCTCTTCACTTTGTGTACTGAGGACAGACTTGATGAGATTGGAACGGCTACGTGTGAGATCACATGGAGATCAGCACAAAGGACCAATAGTAATCACCTTTGTAACAGGAACATTATGGCTGGTATCAATGTTGGGGGGTGCATTTTTGATCTGGCTCACTCTACCTATGGAGGTCTGGGATCTAGACACTAAGTGGCTGTACAGTACTAGAGCTGTGACCTGTTACATTAGACCTTGTAGAATATGGGAATGTTGCTGGCAGGAGAAATGGGAACAGAAATAATTGAAATTCAAATGTCATTTAGTTTAACTTTTAAACCATTCCCTATCACATTCATTTATTCATTCTAATCTTGGCCTATATTTCTCACTTGTATATGTTTTAGGCTGGTGGAACGTTTCTAACAGTAGAAAAGTATGAGAATGACACTGGCAATTGGATTGTCATGTACAATGATGCTTCCTGGGATACCAGGTAATTCTCCTTTTTCACTTGTCATCAGAATTAAATCTGGAGCACATACTGTCCTTGGTTATCAACATTTCCTCTTTAATCAATGTACCCTAATTCAAATTAATCTCAAATAAATAAGTAGAATTGGAAATGCTTTCTTCAGTGGCTCAGTGGTTAGCACTGCCGCCTCACTGCACCAGGAACTGGGGTTCGATTCCACCCTCTGGTGACTGTCTGTGTGGAGTTTGCACATTCTCCCCGTGTCTGCATGAGTTTCCTCTGGGTGCTCCAGTTTCCTCCCGCAGTCCAAAGATGTGCAGGCTAAGTGGATTGGCCATGCTAAACTGCCCATAGTGTCCAGGGATGTGTAGGTTAGGTGGGTTATCGGGGGATGGGTGTGGGTGGGATGCTCTGAGGGTCGGTGTGGACGTGTTGGGCCAAAGGGCCTGTTTCCACACTGTAGGGATTCTATGATCATTCCCTTGGGAAGACTTCCAATCCACTGTTCCTAATCTTGGGAAGGATCTCAATTACAGTTCCTCATCCAAGGATGAGAAATTTCAATCCATTGGTTCCTCAACTCCACAAGGAGCTGTTTGAAACTGCTCAAATTGCTTAAAGAATCTTGCACATATTAAGTGTCTTGGTTATTTTAAAATTGCTGCATTTGTTGATTGGAAGAAATTTGAATATGCAGCCTCCATATGATTGGTTTGCCCATTTGTCTGAATTTCCCTGTGTCTTTTCTCTTCTCCATCTTGTTCTGTTTCTTTTAGGCCATCCTTAAAGCTCATCTCTTTGATCAACCTTTTGGCTGATGCCTCCCAAGCTTCTATTATACTCCATGAGCTTCTATGAAGGACCTTTGCTTGACTTCCTTTTGTAAAGGTGCTAAAAAACTGCCCTTTGTTTAATAAGTAGCTGCAGGACTCCCAAAACCCTGAAGAAAGGTCCTATTGCTACGTGGCCACTTTGGGTCAGATGGGCTGGCTTATTTAAAAAGTTTAAAAGATGTAATGAGCACCGTGAATCTGATATTTACTTTAAACACAGGCCAACTAATCTTCTGACTTTAGGGCTATGGCAAGGTGGTATTAGCAGTTGATTTATTGAAGCTTACAATGAGTCTGCAGTATCAGCAAACCAAAGTTCAAGCCATAACCTCCATAAGTAGCATCCACCTACAAATTATTGTCAGTCATTTGGAATGTCTGAAATGATAAGGATCAATAAATGCAGTACACCTTTCTAAATATTGAGTCTTCCATTGCCACCCTGTTCCATTTTTCTCCATGTACTTCCTTTCTGTAATGTAGAAGTTTAAAACAGTATTCATTACATGTTCACACATAATCACTGTCCTATCCCTCATTATCCATTTGGAAGATGCGATTTAAGTAATTTAAGTCCTGTGTTTGTCGATTCCTCTTTTGAATAGATTGGCCTTTCTAGTCTAATCTAATCCACTGCGTGTGCTTCTTTGAGAAATACCGTGGATAACTTAGTTTACCCATAGTGAAAGGGTCGAAATGACGAGTGACGCGGAGAGAGAAATTAATGACCTGACCAGAAATCAGTATTTGAAGTTACTGAGCTTTGAGTTTCCAAGGACAGTTCCATGCTACTTGTCATTGGTAGTACGCTGGATAGTTAATTGCCAAAATTTTAAGTTTGTGTTTTTGTTCATATTAATCAAGCTGCTGAAGTGAGCAATGATTAATGTCATGAGGCTAATTCTGATGTTGTATCAGGAAAGGATTCTCTAGTTAAAAGTAGGTCTGCATTTTAAAACAATTGTGTACGCAATATTGTTATGGGAGGTGATTAATCTACAACGATCCCACAGGCATGTCTTTTTGGGGGTGAAGATGGGACAGGTTGATCGTATCAGATCCTAATGTTGAGTTTGTATGTTTGATTAGCTAGCTCACTGTAAGTCTCTGTACATGTGTTTATAGGCCATGCGAGTGAATGTGCAATAGTTTGGAAAGTGACAACACAGGATGCTTTTGGAAAATCTCTAATTACATACTTGATCCCTCACTCAAATTTAAACTGTTTTTTATATTATTGCAAGACTGTATTGGAGGTTCTAAATGAGAGTTCCTTCGTGTTACATTTTGTGATAACTTAACACAAGGGCTTACATATGAACAAAAACCTAAAAAAAAAATTGTGTTTGCTGATAACTTCTAAAGTAGAAATTGTTGCAAAGTGTCTGTAAAAAGAAAATATTCTGTACTCTTGCCACGCACTAAACAAAAAAAACGACAGCTTGTGGTATTTGTAGCTTTGCTTAAAAGATCATAAGTATATTTTACTCTAATTGTAATTAATTTTTGATAACTTGTGCTTTGAATGTATGAATAATTTGGGGTACAAGAACAGGATATTGTACCTTTTGATTGACTAATGAAACGGTGCAAACAAACGGTTCAGATGCAATGATTAACTATCTGATTGAACCTACCTGTATCAACATCTTAATGCTTTACTTGTACATTCTCACACCAGTACATTTTCTCAAATCCTTTGAGTTCCCATCCATTACCATGTCAAATCTATGCAATACAAAGAGTCAAGGCAAATTTCTGCAAGCTATTTAAAAAAAATTTGGGGAAAACACCTAAAAGGTAAACCATAAAAGCAGTCTTCACAAAGGGATGTGAGAATATGGATTGTACTACCATTAGAGATGCAGAAGCAATTAAGTATATAAAATGATGATAAAGTATGGTAATACGCTATAAGACTGATATGAAAATGTAGCTGTTACCTCTGCATCTCAAATAGCAGTGCACCGAGGACACCTATGTGCCCATTAGATGAAGAGAGTAGAGATCTCGTGAGCTATCCCATTAATGGTTGTAGTTATTACCCAGTACCTGTGAACAACCAGTGATTGGTCCATCGAAGCTTCTTTGTCCCTCAAAGATTCTGTGAACACAGAAGCCTTACAGGCATTGCACAGGATAACTGTGTAATATTCAGGAGATGGTTGCCTAACAATTGCTTATTGATGAAATTCCTGTTGAGCATGCCATGGAATTGTTGGGAGTGCAAATGCCTTAATGAATACAGACTATATAGTGTTCTATGTCTAGGGAAGTCCATCAATTGAGGAATTGTCACTACCTCCCTTCCTGCTGCTCGATATGTGTGCAGAAAGGTACTTTATGGTAACCTGAAGTCACCTTTTCAGTAAGTGATGTGTGAGAAAGTGACCAATTGCTAAGGTTTATTTTATTTGTTCGGGGATGTGTGAGCACGGTGGCTAAGCCAGCCTTATTTCCCATTGCTAGTTGCTGTTGAAATGATTGCAGTGAGCTGCCGCCTTGAACCACTGTAGTCCTTGCTGCTACAGTGCATTGGCAGAAGAGAGAGTCAATGTTTGTGGATATGGTGCCAAGCAATTGAGAGTTCCAAGATTTTTATGCAGTGACACTGAAGAATTGGTGATATATTTCCAAGTCAGGATGGTGAGTGGCTTGGAGGGGAACTTGAAGGTGGTGGTGTTCCCATGTAGCTGCCGCCCTTGTCCTTCTAGATGGAAGTGGTTATGGGTTTGGAAAGTGTAAATAACTTTGGTGAATTTCTGCAGTGTATCTTGTCGATGATGTACACTGCTGCAACTGAACTTCAATGTTGGAGGGAGTGGATGCATGTGGATGTGGTGCCAATCAAGCGGGTGCTTTGTCCTGGATGGTGTCAAGCTCCTTGAGTGTTGTTGGAGCTGCACTCACCCAGGCAAATGGGGTATGTTCCATCACACTCCTGACCTATGCCTTGTTCATGGTGCACAGGCTTTGGGGAGTCAGGAGGTGAGTTACTAATTGCAGTATTCCTAGCTTCTGACCTGCTGTTGGAGGCATATGCCTATATGGGCAAAATTAAACAAAGAACTGTGGATACTGGAGATCTGAAACAAAAAGAGAAATTGCTGGAGAAACTCAGCACATCTGACAGATCTGTGGAGAGAAAGAAGAGTTAACATTTCAAGTCATTGGTTTCTTCATTGGTTTCCACAGATGCTTCCAGAACTGAGTTTCACCAGCAATTTCTATGTTGTTTATATGACTAGTATTGTTGTGTTTCTGGTCAATGGTTGCCACCACGATGTTGATAGTAAGGTATTCTGAGATGGTCATTTTGATGTCAAGTAGTGATGTAGTTATCATTCTAACAGTCACAAACCACCTATCTCCTCAGACTTGATGATGATAAATGCATTTCATGGTGTCAAGTAATCCCAGGATCATTAGCTAACATCTCTCCAGCAGTTTTTTTTATAGGTCTTCAGTGCAAAGTGAAGTACTCTCCCTTCAGCTTCTTGTAGTTACGGTGCAGTTTTCCCCATGTTGGACATGCTTTATTTTCTTTTGTATGATGTCCTTTGTATTACTTATATCCTATCCTCTCCTCTTAATCATTTTACTGGCTCTTCTATAAGTATTTTGCCATTTTTCTGAATATATTTTTCTTGTTTAGCTTGGAATGTCTCTTAGTATAGTGCAAAAATGCTTTCTTCAATTAATACACTCCCATTAATACACTTTAACTAATCATTGACAACATCAGAACTTCTGCACTTTAAGAATTTTCCTCAGAGTACACTTCTCTCTCAGCTGACAAGGTCTCATGGCAGAATCCTTTATACCTAAGAAAATCTTATCTTTAATGAGATTAGCTAACCCAGTTAACTAAAATCTCAGGATTCAGCTAGATGTGTCAGTGCTGCCACATACTGATCAAAAGTCTCCTTCTTCCCCTGGGCTCAAATGTTGAACACATACGATTCAATAGAAATATAATACATGATTCAAAGTAAGCCTTCAAACCTTTAAAAATCTCTCTTGTCTGGTTATCTGCTCCTCACTGAAATCCAGGGTGCAATATGGAGTTTATACCACTATTTCCCCAGCACTGATAACAGGGTTGCTGTAATTATTTGCTTAATGATTTTATTTAATAATGCAGATATTTCCTAGTTTTGTCACCATCAGTGGAAGAATATCTAAATC